ATCTAGATATTCTTACATAATACAATTACGCGATCGTCAGCTAAGTGACATCAATTTCACGGAAAATTTCTTGCTACTCTTAGTCTTTTGATATGATCTTACTCTTGAGAATCTCATTGAGTTTAGGTAAGAATTTCAATTTGAAAGGTAATTTTTGAGCATCTAGGTTTACTTTTACCTTTACTATTAATTATCAAAATTAAGAAAAGATTTGGGGTATAAAGAAATTATAATAAAATAAGTTAATTTTTTTACATCATGTACTGTGTTAGGATGTGTGCAAATAATGAAATAAATGTATATTGTATAATGTTTTTTACTATGGTGTGTTATATTAAGGATAATGGTTGGGGCTGAACTCATCACGATTTAATTTTATGGTTATTTTACTAAATTATATTGCATATTTAATATTTTAATATACAAATATCGACAAAAACAATACTTGCAAAAATTTTCTACAAATCAAAATTATGTATAATGAAGTAATTTAGGTACTAAATGAAATTGATATCTTATGTTCGTTAAAAAGGTTTTTTTATAAAAAAACACAACTAATATTATTTTTATTTCAAACAGCTACCTGAGTTCTATCTTGAGTAATTTTTTATTGGTATTAGAAAAATATAGTTTTAAGGAAATTATGCAAAACTACTTGATAAATATATTGCATTAATGTATATGAAAATGATCTGTTCTTGGCAAAAGATTAAATGCTTGCACTGTTTTATAAAAATGATGGAATAAAAAATGTGCTTATAATGTTTGTATCGAAAACGATCAAGACTTTAGTGTCACCTCTAGAGTTGTAAACAGATTATTATATTTCATTAAAGGATAGAAAACGTATGAAAAAATACAATATTACAATACGCAACTCAAACTAAATTAAAACAGCGAAGTATATAACAAATAGTCCAATACAAAAAAAGGGTTAAATTACTTTAACTAAATAAATAAATCGTACAGAACTAAATTTAAACGATGACGTACCTATTATTCATAAAAAAATGTGAACAAAGCGGAACGAAAATATACAAATATGAATTATTATTCATATAGTTAATTAAAGTATTGTGACGACAAAAAGATTAGTTCTGTTTAAGTGTACCAAATGATACGCCACTAGAATCGCGATTTAGAAAAGATGAAAATATGTATTTATAATCATACAAAATTACTAATTTTTACTAATTCTTTCTTTTTACTGAGAGTTATATACCTCATTATTTACTTGTCATCAGCCTATCAGAGCCCACTTCTGAGCGAAGGCCTCTTCTCACATGGAGAAGATTTAAGCATTAATCACCACACTTGCTCAAGACGGGTTGGTGATTTCAAACTTATAATTGTCAAACTATAAGTCCAGGTTTTCTCACGATGTTTTCCTTCACCATCTGTCAGTGATGTCTAAATACTCTCAGAAAGTACATATGACTCGGAAAAATCACATTGGTACTTGCCAGAATCGAACCCGCGCCCACAGGCACGGGAGGCGGGCCTTTAACCACTAGGCCACCACTGAATTATGATACTTAATTTTATTAATGTTAATTAATACTTATATGAACATTATTTTCAATTTAGTAAACTTAAATACAATAGATGGATTAAAATCATTATCGATTTGTGTTAAGACTTCTTTATTCTAATTCATTTTTAATGTTCCTCAATCTCATAATTATCAGTGACCTTAAAAAAATTTGTTTGACATGTTATAAAATTAATTTATTTCGTAATGTAATTTTGTTGCATAATATGTATGTATCACTGAGTGCATTGCTATTAGTAAGAGATTATTAAATCGAAGAAAATTTTCATGGTTAAGATTTTTGAATTAAAATACATATAAGGTATTACCTAAGATTGAAATATATCTCATGTGAGACCAAAGTTTTTTACTAGGTTCTTTAATTATATAATGTTTTGTTGGAGAAAGTTTATATAAACAATATTTGAATTCAAGCTATGGGATTATTTTTGGGCGACGCAACGGTAACTACCTCCCATCAGGTAGGCCGTCTGCTCATTTGCCCAAACAAAAAAAAATTTGGACACGATTCCATACATGATGACATCGTGTAATCAAAATAATTTAAGTCCTGTTTCTTCTTAATGTGTACTTTTGAGATCCCATAAAATACAAATGCAAACTCTGCATCAATCGGACCACGCACCTTCAGTGCAAAAACACGTTACGAGTCAGTGGACAAAATCACGAGACGTGTCTACAGATAAGACAACTTGGCAGCTGATTCTATTCAAACTAGGGAACTATTAGTCACTATTCAAAGGAAGATTATGCGCAAGTGTGTGTCACGCATATGAAGTGAGATCAGAAAGATTTTTTATTAAGCTGGAAAGAAACAAACAGTTTATAAAAGATAAGTTCATGATAATTGCTAGATAAGTGACGTTTAAAATACTTTATTTTCGAATATTGATTTTGAAAATAATATTTATATAAAATCGATACTGAGGAAGCAATTTTTAATAAAAAATTATAAGATAAAAACATGCAATTAGTTATACATTTTCTGAATTATTGAGTGGAATATTTAAGTTACACATCTGTATTTTTTTTTGTTTTCATTAAATTTACCTTTTATGTGAATAAAATACGGAAATCGCAAGTTTATACATATTCATTTGGAATTAATCATATCAATGGATTTAATAGGTACAATAATATTTATAACAAAATAAAATAAATCTCTAGGAGATTTGAATAAAACTAAACATTATTTGGTTTGATTATTATTATTAAGACTTCATCATCATCATCAGCCTATCAGAGCCCACTGCTGAGCAAAGGCCTCTTATCACATGGAGAAGATTTATACTTCTCACATAGAGACGGAAGACTTAAACTTAGATATTTTTGTATTCTAAATTACAAAACAATCTGTAAATGCATTAAGTGATCTTTTTATGTTTTGACAGACTAACTTTATTGTAGCAGAAGCATTTGAAATAAACTTAAGAAGCAGTTTTCCATGAATAAGAGATTCAAATATCCTTACACATGTCTCCTTTAAGTCAAAATATATCGTTATTTTTCATAGAAATAGATTTAGTATTTGTTTAAAATTTATTATGATGTTTTTCGATATTATTCATTCATAGTTTAATAACGAGATATTAGTGATGAAACATAAAAATCAAATTATAATACATATTAATAAAAGATAAACCCAATTTTGATAACTTTATTGTAATAAATGTGTGTATTTTTCTTAATTTTTCTCCAATCAATGTTTTTAAACGTAAATGAATATAAGACAGTAGAAGCATAAAATTAGAGAAAAAATAGTTTTCGAGATAGCAATACTTATACATATAAAATGCTGCATCAGGTATATTTGGCAGAGAGAAAAATCAATGCAGTTCAAATGACGTTAGTTTAAGACATAAAAGAAATTTTTTGGTTGACTGCTTTATACATATAACTCAATTTAATATTTCTCGCTTTGTATGTTATAGGACAATTCTGTATGATTCCCGTTATCATATTTTATGTACAAACAACAATTAATCCTCACTTTTTAAATATTAAAAGCAATATATACGTAGCACGTTGCAATATTGTCTTAATGCCATTTGTGTGACGCTTCACGACGTGTGCGGACGTGCAGTGCCAAGTTTCATTTGTACTATTTAAGGAACACGGAATTGTGAGTCAATTTTGTTTATATTTTAAATTTATTTATTATTTACATTTATATATGCGATTTTTAATAACTAATTAAATTAATGTACATGAATTTATAATTTGATGGCATCACATAATAGCTACATATAATATTGTTAAGTTTTTTATTAAGCATATATTTACTCGTAAAACTTAAGTTAGAAGTCAAGATAAATTAAAATCATTATAGTATTAATCTGTAAACAAATGGTAGGAAAATTTTAATACATTAAAGTCTCTGGAAATAAAGAGATTATCTATGTCAATTTAATTATATTGAAATAGCGTTCGACAGTTGGGAACAGAGATTTATATTAGTTTTTTGCTCTCATTAAATATATTTACGAAATTTAATATATTAATGATATATATGCTCTTATTATTTCATTTTTGATAGGTATATTTATTGTGATGCATTTTCATATACGTGAAAATTATTCAATACTTCTTTCTTGTCTAGTGTATAAATTTATTTGCATTAATGATATTGTATCAATGCATAAAAGATCATTAAACACACAGTCTATGATTCACTACAACTGTGTTTGTGGCAAAGTACAAATTATATGAATTACATACACAGTTCAGAACTCTTTTGAATGAATACGAAAAATTATTTTGATATATTTAAAATTTTTTTATGACAAATAGTATTTGTAAGGAATATTTTATACTTGACGACACTGTGACGAAATGATGAAAATTTTATTTTAAAAAAGCAATATACCTTTAATGAAATTATATTTTTAAATTGCCATAAACGAAGCAATTGAAATTGTAAATGATATAATAATATGATGTAAGTCGTTTCATACCTGGTAAAAGATTTATTATTTATAGGGCTATTTATTATTTATATATTCCTTATTATTTTTATATTCTTTTAAACGTTGTATAAATATTTTATACATATATTTTATTTTTATCTAATTCCTAGTTTACTGATGGTAGGTAATTAATTGAGAAACTTCTTTGATCTTTAAACCCAGATTTGGACAATTTTTTTCTAGCTTTATATTATTCTGACTAAAAGGTATTTTATTTATTTTTATCTAATAAGTATTTATTATTAATTAGCATGTGTTTATGGTCTATTAATAAATAACGTGCTTACCACACGTTTGTACCGTCATATTACACCGAGAATTCAAGTTAATCATTCATACATTCAAAGTAATGAATAAGAAACGGGAAACGCGTAGTATGTAGTATGACGACGAAACTTATAGTAAACATACTGTTATCATCCTATTATCTATGGAATCTCACTAGTGACCATAAAATGAAACCTGAACGATTGCTTTTTATAATGCACTATAAGTGGCAGTGAGTTAAAAAATAAAAACTGGATAAATGCAAGTCTATCATGCGCTTCTAGGTTTCTACAAAAACACATTAAAAATGCTATTTAATAGTAGAAATTCCTATTAACAAATTATTATGTAACTAATAAAATTATCGATTAGTGACAATGCAAAGTTAATATTGCTGTTGGGAAAAAGCCGGCGCCATAAACACTAATATATTGCGGTTAGTTTACCAAATTGAAATGATTTTGTAATCGCGAAATGATGATTATTTAGAAATGTCCAATTTTGTTACGTCATTGGGAACTCCCTGATAGCTTTAATATAGTATGTTGATTCCGTTACTTGATTTCAGCCTGTAAGGATTTTCAACTAGGATCAATAAACACATTCTATATGGATTCCATTTGTTTATTATAGTAGAAAACTAAAAATAACTTGTTCCTAAACAAGATTTTTTGTTCTGATCTCTTTTAAGTTTTTACCGACTAACATATAATACTCTTCTTGGATATATTGTCTCGTATGTACCTCTATGAAATATGCATCAAACTCAATCGTCATAAATTAACAAGTAGACTAGACATCACTGATTGAAATAAGGTGATTATCTAACATACTCATGAATTATTTGAATGATTAATTTTAGTTTCTTGTATGTATATATATACATATTGCTTTCTATTTATATGTACATATATAGTAACTTGTCTAAATGACCTATCTGTGGCGTTTACATTAGAAATTCTTTATTATATTATATTTATTAATGTACACAAAGGTAGCAAAATTTAACTGTATTTTGATTAATTCAATTGTCAGAAAAATTTGCTTCGAATAATTTATTTTTTATAAATTTGTTTGAAGAGTATTACTTACGATGTATCTTAGAGATTTAAGACAATGAAGGAATATTAATAAATATGTATTCTTATTTTTATATAGCAATGTTGATATACAATTACATTGTAAGAAGTCTTGAGATTTAACACAGAACATCTTATTATTTTTGGATTTTTTTTAGCTGATTAAATGAATTTTATTGGATTAGTAAATAAATTATCAAATCTGATATCACGGATAAATATTTCTGAGTACGTAATCTGCAGATTCATTTTCAAAACTTGATTGTATTTCGGAGAATCAGGGACTGATTCGCAATAAAAAAGTTTTGGTATCTTCGATCAAAGTTTTGATTAAGTTTTCATATAATTTGTATTTGGTGTTGGTTTGTAATTAACTCTGGGTTGTACATAACTAAAATTTAAATTAACAAATAAAAAAAGTAATCTAGGTAATTTACTAAACTGCCTTCATTTCAAAATTATCACTTAATATTCTGCGAATAAGTTATTTTTTTCATTAAATACGAGTATGTGAATAATTATTTTGTTGCACGAAAGAAAACAAATAGATCCCATTATAACGTCAATTAAAGGTCTTCCAATATTTTTACTGATTTTATTATATGATAGTATTGGGTTACAAGTAGACACTTCATAAAAAGATTATTTGTTAACAGATGTAAATGTGTATACACAAAACCACACTTTTATATAATATAGGTACATATGTCTTTTATAATAGGTATACATATGTCTTGCATTTCAATTCAAAGAAACAAACTCCTTATGTATTGCGTTTTTAACATTAAATCGATATTTCAACGGTTGCGGGTTCAATTCCCGGTAGTGTTGAATTATTTTCTTTCTATAATTTCTATTTGAATTTCAATACAAATGTACTTAATTGTAATATATTACAATATTTTGATACGTGACACCGACGTATTATCTTATCAATTTACATACGATTGTTTTGAGTTAATTAAAAATAATTTATTACAAGATGTGTCTTATAAATGGGAATAAAGATAAAAATATAATAATAATAATGATGTTTGTAAAAAGCAAAAGTAACTCTTCAGCAAAAGATACTAACATCTTGACATGTTAAATTGAGTATAATGAAATAATATAAAGCCTAAAATATATGATCAAAAAAATATATTAAAAATAATATAATTTCAGTATCTAAACCTAATAAGTTAACGGAAAATATATCAGCAATTAGGATTGCATTTACAGAATAGACAGTTTGACTACTCAGACTGCTAATTAATTGATACATATGGATTTATTTAACAATTTAATTTATTTTGATAAACTTAAATGTGTAATTATTTTTATTGTACACGTACCTATTATGTAATATTTGAATATGGAGAAGTGATTTTTTTTAATGTTATGTTTATTAAAAATACAAAGTTTTTCTTGAGTATCTTTTATAATAAGTGGACAAGTAGATATAATTTTCTTTTACACCTCGTTGCATATATGTATTTCGACATAGTTAGTGTAAGGATTTAAAATATGAAATTAAATACAATGCATTTTTAGAAATTATTCTCTAATAGCTTTATAGGAAGACTAATAGTGGCGTCAAAATGATTTCTTACAAGCGTTGTTTACAATAAACATATTCAGATAGTTGCCAAATTTGCCACGTTTCATTTTCTATAGCAATGGATCGATCTTTCACTTTTTGATTTCATTTACTTAAATCAAATTAAATTCGAATACTTTTCTTAAACCCCTTAAACCTACACCTGGGTCGCAAGTCCCAGGCACTGTCGAAGCTCCTCTCCCCGTAACGATGGATCCGGCATCCGCACGGTGAATATATTAAATGCTATGAGGTTTCGTCTCTTATTGTACGAGAGGACAAGTTTTGCTTTTTTTATGTTTATTTCTCGTCAGCTGTCATTTATGATTGATTATCCCAGTTCCGGATATTGTGCTAATGAGTCGAGCGTTCGATAATAAAGTAAAAATTTGAGACAGATGAAATACCTATATTTATTTCAGACTTCGATCACGTGCTTACAGTATGATATGGAAGACTGCCAGACTCGTTGAAAACTATATATTGAGTAGTGTAATTTAGTTAGTCTTTGTTTCCAAACAAATCTTCCGAAGACAGTAACTGCATGAAGCGTGTATTAAAATATCCAACGAATGTTTGAAAATTTTTGAATAACAGTCTCACGAATTGGTTGAGAAGTTTGGTCTGTTTTCTAAATATTTAAGATGTTTAGAAAAATTGACTGAATACATTATTATCGTTTCATAATTTACGTACGTAAATATTTACATACATTTAGAATTATAAGCGAAATATATGGAAAGATTAATCTCTATTAACTGTGATAATTTCAAACGATCTTCCATGCGTTCATTCCACTGTATATTTATTTAGCTTTAAAAACCTTCAAAATCATGTAGAAGCTTCTATTCTATCTATTATCACAATTTGAGTGAAATTGGAATTAAAATAATACATTAAAATCCTTCAATTATATTAAAATCAGGTCAGTTTATAGTAGAAAATTATTATAGGTGAATTACAATAACTAGTCTTTTAAAGGTGTTTTATGAATTTATCGACACAAATAACAGATTTATTTTAATTTAAAAGAAAAAATCGAGAAAAATAATACTCAAAATATATTTCGTTATGCACAAAACAGAATCTAACCATAAATTTTATATCTAACTTAGGCATAATTGCACACTTTTTCATATATATCTTCTGCTTTATAGTTTTTTAACTCAAAAAAATCAGGAAGATCAGTTAGAACTATGTACATATATATAAATATTAGTTTACGGATGTATGGTTGTCATTCATAAATCACGAAGGCTGCCTCTTCACAGGACATTCTTAGTTTATCTTTTGAAATTCATCGTTGGATATTGCAAGAAATTTATGTAAATATATATCCGATGTATTTAGTTCCTGATACAAAAAGAAAACGTGAAGATGGGCAAGATTTTAATATTAATTCTGTAATGTTTATTAATAATAGGTTTTGTTGATTGATTTAAATACATATACTTTATCATAAAAATTATCATTTTATTTTTGAATATAGGACGAGACTTTCTAATAAAAGAAATTGGACACGCTCACAACCATTGACATTTTTTTTAATGAAAAATTCTGTTAGCTTTCATTACTCATCGGGTCAGCTGATAAGACTTAAAATAACTTTAAATAAGTATAACTAATACTTAACGTGGAAGCGTAAAGCGTAAAATTGTTTTGTGTACACAATGACTCCGTCAAAAACATATGTTTTCATACCATTCGTTATTATATCATTATTTAATGTTATTCTTCAGAATTACTTGAAAGCTTAGATTGTACACATTGTAAAAATAGTGTGAGCTTTGAAAAAATAAATTAAATTGTTATTATTTTAGAGTTTTTTAAAACCCAAGGTCGTAGTTTGTTAGTCATAATAGTTTAAGAATGATTATAAATAGGTTAAAAGTTTTATAGTTCGATTGTACAATATTTAACGCTATTTTATTTTATATTTAGAAATATGATAAATTTTATTTGCAGTATTGATTTAGTTTTTTAAACTTGTGTTTTGAGGGAAAAAATATTGCGTCAGTACATTTAAGACCATTTTATTCTCGTTTTAATTTCAATGATTATTATAAAAATAAAATTGTTTGATTGTAAAGAATATTGACGGGAAGTATAATTGTTTGTATTACAAAGATGCGCAGAACAATTGTGTCATTGTTAACATTGTAACACATGTTACAGATGTCATGCCTCTATGTAAACTTTTTAATTCACATACAATTCAAAAATGCATAAAATTTTTAGATAGCATTTATTTTGTTTCAACGACGGTTAACGAGCAGACGGCTTACCTGATGGAAAGTAGTCACGGTTACCCATGAACATCTGCAACGTAAGGGACGTTGCAAATCCGTTGCCAACCTTGAGTTGTAGGAAAAGGAGAGGAACGGGTAGGAGAAAGCAATAGACAGAAATGGTTTGGAAAAAGAAAAGGGCAATCGGATCTCTCACTCATCGGACGATCTTCTGTGAGAGGGTTGTACTTCCATGCTTGAACCAGCCCATGTTCGAGTTGTAGTATCTTGACCACAGCTAGGCTCTAAATCCTTAAAAAAAATATAATTTTAAGCTATCATCATTATAGATACTTGTGATTCTTGACTTTATTTATAACGCCTCGTTCTAAACACCTGATCTGTATTTCATTGTCAGTTATATTTAATAAATCTAATTCACACGTTAATGCAAATAGAAACATACACCCTACTATGAGGCCGACCTTCTGTGTATAAATAAATAACATGTACTAGGAGAATACTATAGAGTTTTATTCACTTGCAAATATATATTTACATAGTAATAAAAAAATGCTTTTCTATTATCTAATTAGGATATTTTCAAAAGACCTCAAATAAAAGGCAAAAAGTTTATAAAGTGACTTATGTTGATTGTTATTCAGATTTTGAACTCAAAGATTAATTCTAAGAATAGCACTACATTCGTTTTGTTTTGGAAACTACAGAAAATATGACTCAATGAAAAAATATTGTAAAATCAAAAGACATTTTTGCCCATAGATGTTTTCAAGCGATAGAAAGCCGTTGTTGTTATTTTTAAGTTTTAATACTATGTATATCCAAGAAGTTTCAATAACTTTAGATATCAAGTCAAAAATATCTCATTGCCTAAAAAAAAGTAATTATAACAAAAATAATCATGTGTTTTGTGTTACAATAATTTGATCAAAGTTTGTCAAAAATCATGTTTTTCACATGGCCAGTTATGTGTTGCCTGTTCCCGTGAAGGAATACTAACAAAACTAATTAATTTCTTCACGAAATATGAACCAAATGTTTCTCTTACAGCCAGATTCAAAATGCATCCCGGGTGTTGGCGTGGGAATGCATAGTGTTCGCTTTGTTCGTGTGCGCGTCTTCTTGTCTGCCGTTGTGGCAGAGGAAGAGGGATGCTGCAGCCGGGGGAGATGCAAAGAGAGCGTATATTTTCGCTGGTGGAGGGGTTTCAACTTTGTCCATGATACTTTCTGTATCAAGAGGAACATTGGGAGTGCGTTCGTTTTTGGGTAAGTTGTAACATAAAATGTACGAAAAATAACTATTAAATAACTCATTTTTATCGTTATTTAATACCAATACAATTATCATCTTTATTGAATTATGTTTATTACTTTTTCTTCACCTTTTTTTTTCATTGTTATAATAATTATTTTATTGCTATTTTATGAATAATGAATGAAACTAAAACAATAATTGTGCGCAATTGTTAATGGGAAATAAATTGGTATGTTTTTTTAATTATTACAATTTCAAGAATTAAAATTTCATATCTCATTTCATGCACATTATCCAGCTACAACTTCAGTTGCGCGTAACATGATAATTCATTCGTTTTAACGTTTAATGTGATCTGATAAGAATTTAAACTGTTGTATCCTTCCAGCGTTTTATATAGAAGATCTATTATTTTGCGACGTTTTGCTTTCTTTGATTAACTAAAATATGTATTAAATTGAATATTTTACATTTTTTAACTGAAAAATTTTAGCTTAAATAACCATATGTAGTAAATATTGATAATGAATTAATGAATAAAAATCTTTCAGATAATTTATTTTATGTTTAAGTTTAAACAGATATTTATCTATTATGTCAGTATGTGAATCAGAAAGACATTTCTTAGGCTTCAAACAAGTTTGCAATCCTTGATGAGGTAAAAAAAGCCATCGTAGAGCTAATATATAAGGATAATTTTAAACTATGTATAACTCACAACTTATAGATGTTCTTATAAAATATATAATAAAATCATTACTTTGTTTAATCTATTGTACAAACAGTTTTAATTGTGGGGAAATACGGTTATAATGTAATGCAAGTTAAATCTCTCGATCTGCGACCTTTGACTTTATGTATTATGATGATTATTGCTCACTAATGTTCGTATGTAATTTTCTATCTCATGTATTTATGAAATAAGAAAATGACAGTTATTTTTACCATTCTTATGTCATTGTTTTGATGTAGATATCAACTATTTTCTTCGAAGCATTATTCATTTTATACTCTTATTTTCGAGACACCACAAATCTTTTTACAATATGAATATATAAAATATGCATTGTATAGATACTTTTATATAAAATGATTTTCATTCAAATTTGCATGTTTTAATTTTAATGAATATAAATTCAGATTAGAACAAAAAAGTCGTAATTTATATATCAGTGAAATATAATTGTAATTTATATGTAAAGACAATGTTTCCTACCACATATAAAATACTTGACACTCACATTGAACCGCTTCGCTGGTGTCAAATTAAAGTAACTCAAGACATCACGTGCTTATAAACGATAGCGTGGTTACACACGTGGATCGTAGGAAGCCTTGTAATCCTGTTTGAACATCTATTCTATAGAATATTATACATTGTAGGATACTTCTAATAATCCAATAGAATAAAATATTATATTTTCTTTACATTATCAATAATACTGCATTTAAAATTGATGATTTATGTCTATTTATGACAAACGATTTATTATAATGACTGAGACAGAACAATTACTTTTATCTTGACGGAAGTGCACTACATTGATTAGTTACGAAATACTTGTTTTTAATGCAAATTACAGATGTATGGATGTTTTAAATGAATTCATTGTATTGTAAATTTTGTTTCACTGAAGTTATTGAATGTTCAGAATTTTGCTTAAATGGAATTATATACGCTATTCTTGTGTCACATTACTTAAAAAGAATTTCAGGTATTTTATGACATGTCAGCTTTTTAATTCGAAATAATAATTATGGGTATTTTTCTTTATTATTCAACCAATTGTTTTTCTTTGGTTTTCATTTTCGAATTAAGAGAAATTTAAATTTATAAATACATTTTCAGCTTTAATTTTTATTGAGATTAGTGAATGTTTTGTAACATACATGCTCTTTTTTCAGGTTTTCCCTCTGAATTAGTGTATTTTGGTTCAGCGATGTGGGAAACTCTCTACGGTATGGTCCTGGCTTTTCCTCTTGTTTGTTGGATCTTCATACCCGTATACTATAGACTCAGTACCAATTCTGTCTACGAATATTTGCAGGTAAACATATTTTTCTACTATTTTTTTATATATTCTTCTATACATAATAAATAATAATTTAAAGTAAAGTTTTTTTATGTAAGTATATATTATTAATTGCCGTTATTTCAAATCTTGTCGAAAGACTCTCTTTTATTAAATTTTTAAAATTTATATTCTCTTACTAAAGGATAAGAAAAAATTTTTTTTATTGTTTTATATATAAACTTTAACTTCCTCTATAAACTAATTAAATGCATAGTTATATTTATTAATCTTTATAAAAAATACTCAACTTGAAATTCTTTATTTCAACACAGTTTTGCCGGTTCAGATACAATTTTCTTATATATTTAATATTTAAAATATTATTACTATAAAAAGTAATTAATTATATGAATTAGATATAAGATATTTAGCGAAGAAGTGAAGTCTTTAACAATCTAAGTAGTTAAGGGAAACTTATAATTAAACTAAGCTATATGTATCAGGTAAAAAAATGACAATAAATATATTCTTTGAAATTATAATATTGAAACATTTGTATATTTTCTTATAAATAGTTTTTCCTTGTTAGCTAAACAGGAAATAACCTCAAATAAATAGGTTGTTAATAATTATTTGTTTATATAATTTATAATAATATCTTTGGTCTACCGTCTGCTGTATTTATTTTAAAATTATATGAGTAGAAAGATGAAGTTTTATAAATATTTTCACAAAAAAACTGCTCACTATTGGTTGTTTAGTTATTATTTAAAAAATCCATACTTTAAATGAAATTTAGGCTGTGAAACGAAGGCATTTGTTCCTTAAACTCTTAATATGTATGCCATTCAAGACTTAGACTTAATTAATTAAATCGAGTCTTATAAATTTAAAATAATTGTAAAAAATTATATTCGTAGATAATTACTTAATGTTAAAAAATATTAATTTTATGTGGAGTGGTGGCACGTTTGAAATGTAATCAAAGTTCAAAGTAAATAAATTGAAAACAAATAGTCACGATGAAAAGAGTGTAAGAAATAAAATATCAAAAATAATTCATTTTTATATAACAAAATTATATACATGTTCATTGGATTAATTATATATTCCTTGGAATTTTTTTCAAATAATATATTACTGCATTACTATAATAATTGCAATATTTATAAGTTTTATAATGATTATGATTCAGAAGACTGACACAGCAATTTATATGATGAGACTTATCGTCACTAAATCCCAACATAATATTTTTAACATGAACTAAGTATTTCGAATACAAAGCTTTCGTTTTGTTATTTTAGAGTAACAGCGTTCACTGGAAGACGAGATGAAAGTGTCAGGTTTTATTTTATCTCGTCTTTCAGTGATCATGTCATAAAAATACCCGTGTTATCCGAAAAGCCTTTTTTTAATGTGTACACGCGAAAATCTCAGATATCATTATAATGTTTTTAACCCATCGAATGAATATCAAAATTAATGGAAACAAAAAACAAACAAGAAATGCGTTCATAATTCCATGTAAGAATTAATTAATTAAATATATACAAAACCGTTTTCTTCCATTCTATATATATTTTATTCTATATATTTACTCTATTACTTTTACATTACTAAAAACCTAAAATTACCGCCACTGTTTATACATCCATACAATCCATGAGAATCCACAAGAATACAACCCATAAGAATAGTTATTATTTAAAAACAATATGAAGAAACTTTTCTATATACCTATTTTTACTTTATGTTAAACTTCAATTTCTTAATTTATATCGTTATGTCAATTTTGTAATACTTTCAAATCTATGTTTAATTTCACAAGTTTAATAAAAGATGTTAACAATGCATTCATCTGTTTTCCAGATGCGTTTCGGTTCAAGATGGGTTCGTCGTCTGGCCGCGGCTACGTTCCTACTTCGTCAGACTTTGAACCTTGCTATCACAGTCTATACTCCAAGTGTTGCTCTACACGCTGTTCTTGGTTTACCACATTGGGCATCAGCTGCTTCTCTAACTATTGTTGCGATAGTATTTAATTTGTTGGGTGGATTGGCTGCAGCTATCAGGTATACCTTCGAATTATGACTTTTTTTGCTTAAGTTATACACAATATAAATCTATTAAATCATTTCGGATACCGTCAAGAGTGACAAAAATTTTAACATTGTTATGATACTAGTTTCGCCCCGCAGCTTCGCCCGCGTGGAGTTCGGTTGTATCGTGTTTCCAAGAGAACATTTCAAAAGTCTGGAATAAAACCTATCCTTTGTTCTATCTCAAGGTCAACTCTATGTCTGTACCAAATTTCATTAAAATCAGTTCAATGGTATAGGCGTGAAAGCATAACAAACAGACAGACAGACAGACAGAGTTACTTTCGCATTTATAATATTAGTAGGGATTAATAATATTAATTTTGAATTCCAATCGTGAACTTATCAATTAAATTATTAACTATCACAGAGCAGACGTGATCCAGACCCTTACGATGGTGCTTGTGAGCGGTGCCTTTATTATTCAGGCGACAGTACAAGCTGGGGGACCAGCCAAGGTTATATCAGATAATGTTGAAGGAAGACGACTGGAATTTATGAAGTAGGTTTAAAATATTTTAAAGAAAAAAATAATTATAAAATTAGTACATAATTAAAATTAAAAAATTGTTGCAAATTAAAGAAAAAGTTGATAATGGCCAGGAATTCATATTGAACTTTTAAATGAAGATTTTTCCATAATAGGAAATAATCGTCAAGTCTGAATAGCCATAGCAACCAGGAAAAATCAAAGCTAAAAGAATATTTGGAATTAAAACCTATATAATACATATAACAAATACAAATGAATAGATAAAATTTTAAATATAAAATTCCAGTTTTTTTTTAATATCTGAAAGTTTATAAATACAATCCATAATTGTTTATTTCAGGTTTACATGGGACCCAACAGTCAGAGTGGATACTCTTTCTGCATTAGTTGGTCAAATGTTCATGTCCGTATCCATATACGGTTGTCAGCAGACCTTCGTCCAACGTTACTGCTCTATGTCCAGTGAAAAAAGAGTCAAGAAGACACTTTTAGCTAATGTACCAGCAGTATTGGTTCTCTTCAGTCTGTCATGGGTAGTGGGAATGGCATTATATGCAGTTTATAAGTATTGCGATCCGCTTATGTCAGGAAAAATAATAGCTAAAGATGAAGTTCTACCATTTTATGTGCAAGATCAATTTAACTTTTTGCCTGGAATGCTGGGACTGTTTTTGGGGAGCATCTTTAATGGAGCTTTAAGGTTTGTTGTTATAATCTGTTTAGCTTTCTTCAAAGTTATTTTTTGACCTGGTCTAAACAGATTTTAATATTTTTTTAGTTTCCTGGTATCTAATATGAATTCTCTGTCAACGGTGACTTGGGAAGACTTTGTATCAGAGGCGCCAGCTTTCAAAGGAATAAGTAACAAGCAACAATTGACTGTTATTAAAATAATTGGAATTATCTATGGTGAGATGTTTTTATTGTAACACATTATATGTGTATAAATTGATCTATTTTTTGGGCAGTGTTGCTTTGCTATATGTGTATTAAAATTATTCAATTTTATTTCATTTCAGCTTTAACAATTATGGCATTATCACTCTGCGTGGGTTTGGTCGGAGGTGTAATAGAGGGATCACTCTTAGTAACCTCCGCTACTTCTGGAGCATTACTCGGAGTATTTCTATTAGCTGCTATATTTCCTGTTGCAAACGGAAAGGGGGCTTTATGTGGTATGATTGGATCCCACTTCATCACATCATGGATGGCCATTGGAAGAATTCTATATGTCAATGATAAAAAATCTATGCTACCGTTATCTGTTGAGGTAATATATTAAAATTAGCATTTGTTTTTGTAACTATGGAAAAATACAGAAAGTATGAACAGACAAAGAAAACAAAATCATTAAAATATAATTTTTTTTCAGAAATGTCCTAACAGCACATTGAGCGTGTTAGCCCATAAACCTCTTTTAGTCAGTCAAAACTCAACAATCGCGAAAATAGTACATGTTTTAGATAAACACGTTTATAATAAAGAAAAGGATCAATCGCCCATGTAAGTTTTTATATGTAGTTTATAAAAAAAATAACATTTTCAAATATAAAGAAGGTGTCTGTTTTTGAACGCAGTTATACTTTACTGTTTCTTTGGCATGGTTTTAATACTTATTTATGTTTATTTTTCAGTTTCACTGCTCTTATGCGGATGTATTCAGTATCATATATGTGGTACGCTGTAATAGGCACTATTACGTGCATAGTATTAGGAGTTATCATTGGTTTGCTTACGGCCAGTGAAGGCGATGCCTTTGATGAGAAACTCCTACATCCATTGGTGGCAAAAATTACTAGAAAAATGCCAGGCAAAAAGAGAACCTTCACTAATATTATAAAAGAGAAAGTAGTTGAGGTGCAGGAAGGTGAGAAAATAGAGGAAACGACGGTGGAAGTAAAATCAGTGTTAGCTTCTAATGGCAGTAGATTATTCGATGCTTATGAAAATAACTTGCAATCAAGAACCAGACTTTGATTTATCAATAGATTTAAGTCAAGATTAAAGTATTTAATCGTGCTAAATATTTTACTCCTAAAAATAAGATCTGGAAAAAGCGAGAACGTTAGTTGATAGTGGCTATTTGTGTTGTAGTTAGGGAAAATAATGTGGAATGATTTAGTAATGTATGGCTAGTCATATTTAATTGCCATAATGTGATATGCTAAAGTGACTGATTATATAATAAAATCATCGCATTATAGTTTGGTAATTGAAAATGTGATTATATTTGTTATTACGATAAATACTTATTTTAAGTTAGAATAAATAAACATAATTTTGTAAAATATTAATTTTACGTTGTAGTTTGAATGACGAATTAAATTATAAATGTTTTTTGTTACTTGTGTGTGTTTTTTTAGTAGATTAAGACAACAACTCAACCCGAATTTTAATGACAGTTGTTTGATTGTGGCCTTATATTTATTTTTCTTCTTGTAATTAATATTTAGACGAATTGTGCTTTTTAACGTATATGAGATTGATGATTGTACATTTAAACCCTAATTGTAGTTGTTTATACTTGTTGTAAATAAAATAAAATATTTCATTAGAGTTGTTAACTTTTTTAATACATAAGAATCGTTATTTATATTAATTTTGAAACAACAGACTTTCAATGATTTTGTAAATACATATTTTTAATATATTTCATAAAAATTTTGTTGTTTATTAATTTATTGCATTTTTATATATGATTTCTCAAATTTACATCATAATATGTACTTATGTGATGTTATTCAGTATTTGTTATATAAAAACATTTTTGTAAATAAATATATTTTCGTTGTAAATTATTAAAAGTTGTTTAAATTATTATATCGCTACATAAGGATTATTTTTTTTTATATTTGAACCATAAAACTACATTAGTAAAAAGTACTTTGTAAAGTCACTTAATGGCAATGTACGGAGAAATTTCAATATATGCTATTTGTAGAGAGTTGTAAGTGGTGGTCAATTAAATAAGCCATTTTCAATTTCAGATATGGATTCTTGTTCTTACAATATTGTGAAATTCAATAAGCAACAAACCCAAAAAAAATTTTTTGTTAAAAACAAGTTTTAAAAAATCCAAAAGATACATTTTTGATGGGACTTCCACCAATCACGAGTACTTTAATGTGAAAAGCCTTCCTTACATACTTCTTTTAAAAGAAAATTACATTTGCTGTTCAATAGTGAAAAAACTAAACAAAGGACTAAGAAAAACTCTAACGAAGGACTAAGAAATGATCTAAAATCTTCCAAGATGGGAAACGAAAATATGTTCAAATAATATTTTAAAATAAAAACATGGTTTATATTCATCACAACTTCGGTATTTTAATGTCGTTTACCAAATTTTGGGTTCAATGAATAAATTAGTTACTCCGAAGTCATTTACTATCAATTTACGGTGAACCCTTTACCGGTGAAAACTAATGAATACATTTGAATATCAAATACCTTCATTTTATTAATATTAAACATTTAAATGGAATTATAATATTGAGAAATATTAAATTTGGAATATTCATACTGTAGAGATTTTAAGAAAAATGATTACTTTGATCAAGGGTATGTTTCTAGTTTCTGCTATATATTTTAGTAGGGGCAGAAAAAAACTATTGAAATAAAGTTATTACCATTCTAAGTCTGAACACAAAAAATGGTCGAAATATATTGAATAGTATGCTAATGTACAGAGTAAACTGTTAAATTAAACATTATGCTTTTAACGTGGAACGAGATATATACATGTATATGAAGTTAAACTTACAGAATTAAAGGTCCTCTTATTGATTGGTAACTTTATACTGATGCATTATATTGTTACTCCGTTGTTAATGAAACTGTAATATCGGGAATTCGATGGTAAATTATGACATTTTAACAAAGAAAGTAATGGAGTCTAAACATAGACAGAGTTTTCGCAATAATAATCTAGAAATATTTGGTTTTCAAACTTGACTTGAAGATTCGTTTTGAGAGCTTATTTAAGTTATAACATGAAAATTGCGGAAAGTGTATGAATTTTGATTAGAAAACAACGATTGAAGTTAAAGACGTTAAAGTCAGAAATAAATTGTTTATTTCCACTACGATACAACTATCTGTTGTAGTTATTTTAACTTTATTTTTCTGTAAAACAATTGCAAAACTTAAACGCGGGCTGAAGTATATTTCGTTTAGATCTCTTAAACCTTTCCGATCGAAATATATAAAATACTCAAATGCATTAAACTAAGAACCTTTCCTACTTTATTAAATGAAAACGTTCAAACAGGTTCAACTCCTGTGAAACAATAATAACAATGGTAACCGATTTACTAACAACTAAAAATAAACTTTTAAAGTCAAAACTACGACTAATAAACGTTCACATTTTATTATTATTTGAATGATAAATTCAGTAATTAATAATTCCTATACAAATGACTATAAATGGACTTCATGATCTGAATCCATTAGTCTAAACCTATGTATAACAACGGTCTCAGGGTGTATCTATCAATGTCTTAGAAGGAATGAAATGTTCAAGTAATTTCCTGTAGACATTTGAAGTAATAACTATTTCGTTTTATCCATTATACTATTTACTCTCGTTGCTGTTGGTTTATTAATAGTTTTTATTTCCTTTTAAATATATTATGTAATGAGATCTAATAGTTTGACGAGTATTCATTTAAAAAAAACTAATATTTTTCAGTAGTCTAACTAACTAGTTAGTCAGTTAAAGGCCCGCCTCTCGTGTATGAGGCCGCGGGTTTGATCCTGGCAAGTACCATTGTACCTGGAAACTTCGACTTATAATTTCACAATTATAAGTTTAAAATCGCCAACCCGTCTTGAGCAAGCTTGGTGATTAATGGTCAAACCTTCTCCATATGAGAAGAGGCCTTTTCTCAGAAGTGAGCTCTAATAGATTTTCGTATTTACTACGCGTTTTTATTATTTTGAACTACACACTCGTTTCGGTTACTTTGGAGACGAGATAAAAATGAAAATGTGGGTTGTATTTTTGTGTTTGTTATGGATTCCTGATAACAGTACACATTTGAAATTTTTATTAAAGGAATAGTTTTTGTCCATAACTTCGACCGCATTATTTCCTTTAATTAGTAATGTACGTATAACTGACCGCGCAAACTCTATCCGATCTAGAGGACATAAATAGCCAGATATTGAAATGTATTAAGTTTTTCTTTTGAGATCGATCAGAATTAAATATCCTACGTCCGTCTCCTGGTGCTATCGCCTCATCAATTTTCAACCATACCCTAATGCCGTTCTTGAGTTATAAATAGTACACTAACACAACTTTCGTTTAAACATATTATATGTAGATTTTTACATGTTTTATCCCTTCTATTCCATTTATTTCAAAATAAACCTACTGTCAATGGATGTCAATGATAGTGTAGATTTGAAATAAGTGGCTTTTGTTTTATAAAGAATTTGATCGAATAAAATAAAAGGAGTGATTATATTTTATCAATTCTGACTATTTGGATTTTATTTGTGAATAATATGCTGACATATAAAATGATTGAAAGAAAATATTTTAAAGGTAATTATAACATTTATTATGAAATAAATATCGTTGTGTGAGAAATTAGAACATAAATTAAAAAAAAAATAGCAATTTGATGTAATTAAAATATGTATATCTGATATTTTTTAATATACACAGGAATCAAAATAAATGAATAATAATAAATACTTGATAATTTTAGAACTATTTTCATACATATTTTTGAAACTTAAAAAAAAGTGCTTATTTTCATTATTCCTAGAATTAGTCATTACAGCAAATTTGTTTTTTGTTTTACATATTTTAATAAAATTTTATGTAAAACTTATTAATTATACATAGTACTAACTTTACGAATATATACAATGAACAAAGAAATTAATAACTTTAACCCAATATATATCTGTGAATTTTTGAGCTGTTCTTCAATTTAAAATTCAGTGCCATGGGTATAATTTTGATACATTATTGAATTTAAAACATGTTAATGGCTAGCTAACTAAGATTATAAGTAGATAAATAATTTGTAAAAGGAACCGAAACGTCGGGATTATATAGTTAAAATATAATAGAAAACGTGTAGTATTCGAAAAATATTAGATATCATTATAGAAAAATTCAAAGTAAGTACTTAATAAATTGAGAGAAATTACACAACCTAAAAGTTTGATGATTATAAGCATCATTGTACCAAAACTGCAATGACCACGACTTGTCTTCATAAATGGGCAGAAGTGATTTTTTTTTCAAATGTGTATGAAGCTCTGTAACAAAAATCATCAAATACTTCTTTAAAAGTACCATAAATTTCACAAATCGAAATTGTAATTCTTAACTTTAAAAGGAATGAAATAAGAAATCATTTGTCAGATAAAAAATTCAAAAATTCTAAAAATTTCGTGTAATAATGAAAAGCATTATATCCTTGAGATTTGTTCTTAAATCTCTGAATATTATAGTAGACATTTATCATGTTTTAACTACAGTCTTCTAGTCTTTTCTGAACACTTCTATAAATCATCATGAATAGTTTTTGGATCGATTAAAATATAAAGATATTAATATAAAAACAAAATTAATTTAATGACCACCAATCACAAAAAAACTCATATTTTAAAATATAAAATACCTTGATTTCATCTTATTTTCAGACAAAAGAAATAAATCCATAACCAATTTAAGTACTACTGTAAAACTTATTCTTTGCGAGTTCATTTTAGTTACCTTTTTCTGAACCATTTATTTATTATTTCCGTTGATTTGCGTATCAAGATTATGATTTTATAGTCAAATGACGAGAGAGAATTTATCTAAGCATCATATGTATTACATATAATAACTATTCATCAACAATTTAAAAAAAAAACTTTAAATTTATTTATTTACTGACCAAACTAAAAAAATCTCAATTAAATTTTTAAGCAAGTGACAATCAAAACTATTTTCGAAAGCATGAAAC